ACTCTCATATGCCAGTACTAGTGCCGCTCTACCTTTTGGTGAACTTGCGAGAACCAGCGGCCTAGTACATCCTGGTCTTATACATATCAGCATTGCAGTATCACTTGGTGACATGATGAGTCCCATAAGTGCAATACAAGCTGGTGTGGCTAGCACAAGCAGTGTCCCGCAGCCACCAAGAATTCAAACACAGGCATGTAGAGCCCATAGTGTCCTTCCGGAAGTGCTTGCAAATCCTGATTGGCAGCCCACAAATTCTGCAGCACCTGCAATTCACTCATTTACTGCCCAACCCGGAATACAGGTGGAAACAGCATATTTAACTACACCGCTTGATTTTTTTTTAGCTGTTTTTCACAGAAGATCTGTACGGATTGATTATCAAAGCAATTTATATGCACAACAATTTATCGCCGCAAACCTAAATTCAAATCTTGCCAGAGAATTCATATGGAAACCCATTACGGTTTCTGAATTTAAAGTTTATTTAGCCTAACCCTCAACATGGGCATTACTAAAAAATGAATTGTGGTTGTATTGCTCCACAGACCCGATTCATCATATGTCCGTGTTATCTGCTGCCATGGCCAGGCATAGATATGAGAATATAATACGATTTATGCATTTCAATGAAAATACACTCTGTCGTCCTCGGGGTCACACTGAATTTGACCGGCTCCACAAAATTCGAACCCTCGTAAATCACCTTAACCAGAAATTTGCAGATGTGTATACTTGTCAGCAAAACATCTGCGTTGACGAATCTCTCATTAATTTTTCTGTCCGCCTTGCATTCAAACAATTTCTCTTGAGCAAGCATGCCAGATATGGGATCAAAATGTATAAGACCTGTGAGAGGGCAACAGGCTATACATGTAATTTTCAGATTTACGAGGGAAAGATAGTCATATGGAGCCCTTCGAATGCCCAGACTACATGGGGAGCAGTGGCAAGACAGTTTGGGACTTGGTGTCACCCTTTTTCCATATTGGGTACCACTTATATGTGGACAATTTTTATACAAGCATGCTACTATTTAGATATTTGTACAATTTTGGAATTGGCGCATATGGCACTATGCGACCTAATCACTGGGGCTTCCCCCAATGACTTGTAAATACCCGTCTTAGAAAGGTGTAGAAGCCTGCTTGAAAAACAATGAATTGCTCACAGTGAAATGGAAGGACAAATGGAATGTTTTTGTCCTGTCTTCCATTCACGCAGACACAACCATCCAAATTTCTATTGCAGGTGGTGTTATTGAGAAGCCCCACTGTGTCCACAACTATAACATTGACATGGAAGGGGTGGTCTTCAACAACCAGATGATGAAGCTGTACTTAGTTTCCCATAAAGCCAGATGCTGGTAAAAAAACGTGTCTGTTTATTTATTTTAATTGGCTCTGTACAACGCTTTTGTGCTTTACAAAGCAACTGGAAGAAGTGGATCCTAAAATTCCAGGAAGAGATCATCACGTCCTTTTTGTATCCAGAAGGTACTATGGCGAAAATCCCCAACCCAGATGCAGTGAGCCGGCTGCATGAAAGACATCTCCTGATGCCATACCTGGTACTCCAACCCAAAAGTCACTGTAGCAGACATGGAATTAGGCATGACACCTGCTTTTTCTGACCTTTTTCCCTCCTGTTGTGGCCAACCTGGTCTGTGCCTCAAGGACTGCCCCCCCCCCCCCACCCGCTGCCTTCCACCAATGATGGGGCACTATTCCTCCCACTGACACCAATGATGTGGCACTACTCCTACCACTTACACCACCGTTGGGGCACTATTCCTCCCACTGACAACAACGATGGGGCACTAATCCTCCTGTCCAACACCTGCCTTTAGGTAAGCCCCTCTCTGGGCCCATTCCCATGCTCCACACTCCAGCCTCTCACTCCATCTTCCACCTGACACTGACTCACTCCTCCCAGACTCTGCAGTACTTAAGGGTTGCCTTGGTCACCATGCCCAGCCTCCTGCCAGGGGATTGGTCAAGGTCCCTCAAATATGTAGATCTGAGCTTTCTTCCCTCCTCTATCCCTCCTCCAGAAAGCTCTCAGGTTTCTGGAGAGGTGGGATGGCTCCAGAAGCTCTAACCCTCAGAAGCTCCCTGGCTTGTCCTGAGGTAACCTCACTAACTCACTCCCAGGCTGACTCATCCCAGGCTCCTACTCAGCCTCTGACTAGAATCCTGTATAGCTCCCCCTAACTAACTGGAGGGGTGCTACAAGTGTATAAAACTCATTGAAGAGTGCATGAAAATTTATGTAAACTGATGTCTCTGTAAGTGAAATCTGCACATCAGTTCCCATCACTTTTTCTGCACTTATGGTGCAGTCTTAGGCCTTAGTGTCTGTTTTAGGTAGGATAAAAACAAATGAACAAAAAAACAAAAACAAAATGCACACTATTGTTTATTGGGTCTACATTGGGTACAAACAACAAATAACACATGTGTGGTATTGCTGAGATTGTCAAGAGCAGGAGAAATTATTTGGGTTGTTCTTTGGTGGTGGGTCATCTTAACAGCAAGACATATACAGGTAAAATTACATAGTTACATAGTTAGTCTGGCTGAAAAAAAGACAAAAGTCCATCCAGTTCAACCATAAAAAAAAAAAAAAAAGTTATAATCCTACACCCACAGTTGATCCAGAGGAAGGCAAAAAAAAATCCCAGCAAAGCATGATCCAATTTGCTCCTGCAGGGGAAAAAAATCCTTCCTGATCCCCCGAGAGGCAATCGGATATTCCCTGGATCAACTTTACCTATAAATGTTAGTATCTAGTTATATTCTGTGTATCCAAGAAAGAATCCAGGCCTTTTTTAAAGCAATAATTTAAAAACAAGATTTTTTTGCTATTTTGTGTCAGTTTTCCTTTGATAATATAAAAATCATGAGATTTTGAATATTTATTTAGAGATGCACAAAAACATACAAAACATTAAACAGTACAATGCTTGTGTACCAACAAAAATTTGACAGCCCAAAAGAGAAATACATAACAAATAATAAAACAACAGTGTCCGACAACACAGTGCTTGTAGTTATACCTCTGGAGACCCAAGGGTAAATATTGTGGGGATTAAGTGCTCAAACAATAAACCAGATTGTCATCCGGTGGTACAGCAAACCAGAAGTATTTGTCGTGGCAGATCAAGGATTCGTGGTACTTAACCCCTTTACGCCGACGTCACACAAATATGCGGCCTCCCAGAACTGGGCTTTTTTCCGTGCGGCCACATATTTATGTACCTGTCTTTGTGCTGGGAGCGCACCGCACAGCGCGCTCCCAGCACCAGACTGGGGTGTCAATTAGAGCCCCAGGTCCTGTTCTAAGGATCGGGCCCCGGGACTCCCGATTCTGGGTCACATGATTGCTGTGATAGCCTCTGGTTCGCTATTACAGTGATCAGTCACTGTACAGCCCGACCCCTTGTTTTTTTTCCTCTCTGAATGGAGGAGAGAGATACATTGTATCTCTCTCTCTCCTTGCATAGAACAAAAAAAACTCAAATGTTTGTTAAACAAAAAAAAATTATAATTAAAATATAAATTAAAAAATAAAGAAAAAATACTTAGATTAAGGTTCGATCTAGTTCATTGCCAGGATTAGTGTTTGGGTCAAGGTCAGGGTCAAAGGTCAGCATTTTTTTAAATTGGTATCAGTGTCAGTTAGTGTCAGTGCCAGTGTGTTTTAGGTAACAAAAAAAAACAAAAACAAAATGCGCACTATTGTTTCTGGGCTGTACTGTGGGTACAAACAACAAATAACATACACATATATGACGTAGCTGCAATTGTCAACAGCTGGAAAATGTATTTTGGGTTGTTGTTTGGTGGTAGGTTATGGTAGTAATAAGAAACACACAGCTAAAAAAAATTCTTTTTTTTTTTTACTTTTTTGGGCCAGTTTTCCTTTGACAATAAAAAAAAAATGAGGAGATATCCATTACCATTTACCACCAAAGGAAAGCACCATTTATCCTGAAAAAAACGCGGTATAATCCACCTGGATGTACAAAGTAGTTGTGATCTGTACTGTTTTACTAACACATTTCAAAGTTGCAAAATTGTGCTTAGGCATTAAGATTTGTTGGACCCTTAGGTGTGACGGGGTTAAAGGCCACAAGCCAGGGTAGTGTGCATCCATTTTTTAAGGATGAATAAGGAAAGGGAGGAGAAGAAGAGGGGGAGAATGGAAAAAAAAAGAGAGAAAAATGGGATATGGGAAATGGTGAAGGAAGAGAAGATGGGTGCTTTGAGGCAGGTGGAGGAAGAAAGGGAAATTGGGAAAGGGGTCCGGCAAGGTTTCGTATAATGCAAGGCCGAGCATTGCCATTGGGGCAGAACTCATTTGTATTGGGAGTATTCATCAGAGAAACTAAACTGATCCCACTAAAACCAACTGGTCCGATGTTCTTCCGATTGTTCTCGGATGGCAGAGGTCAGATGTTCCATGCTCTCTGGTGAACCATTGGGTAGGATCACATGGCACAGATACAGGCTCTGGCTGCATGGAGTAGGTGCAGGAGATATCTATTACCATTTCCTACCAAATGAAAGTCCAATTTCTCCTGAACAAGAAAAGAACCACAGTATAATCCACCTGGGAAAGTTGCACTGATAAGTCCAGTATTACAAACACATGTCGCAAAATTGCGTTCAGGGTTTAGGATTTGTTTAATCCTCTATCTATCATGAAGGGGTTAATATCAGTCTTTTGGGGTGCCTAGGCTCATACTATGGGGTTCCTCATGTTTGTCACAGTCTGTGAGAGAGGTGTTGCTTTCACAGTTTTTCATCGGTTTAGGATGTGATTTGGGTAATAATGGCCTGTTCCCCTGTTCGTGTACACTGACATGACTGGACGGTGCACACTCCATGTGGTGAGGAGGGACACTTGAGGTATGTGCAGTGCTGTGCACAGTGTCCGTTCGGTGTCCCCTCATACACACCGCCCCTCCCCGCCCCTCTCTGTTATATCGTAACAAGGAGGAAGTGCTGCTGTGTATGACCAGGGAACCGCAACGTGAGGCAGTCATTATCCAGCGGCCAGACCTCTCCTCCTGTATCGGGGAGAAGAGGCCGGGAGCTATGGAGCTGCTGAGGGGAGACGTTCATCTGGTGGTGTGGGCGACTGCGGCTGTGCTCCTGCTGACATTGCTGCTCTACTCCACCGTCCCGTTCCTGGCGGATTACATTCGGAAACGGAGAATCATGAAGCCGATCCACGGAGTGGGCCCCAATTACCCCCTAGTGGGGGACGCCCTGCACCTGAAGCCTAATGGAGGAGGTACACTATATAGTGATGGGGGGGGCTGGCCTGGCATTGTGGGGTGGATGGTGGGCAGCATCTCTGTGCATATCAGGCAATCAGCACATCTCATAGATGGGAGTCCAGCTTTGAAGTTGCAGGAGGTGGACATTATTTTGTTCCTGAGGGGGGGTTCAGTCGTGGGACCCCCAGAGTGCTGGGCTTTACGGCACTATGTTACTTTAACTGAGAATTGCGCGGTCATGCAGCACTGCACCCAAATGAATTGTATCTTCTATTTTCCCCACGAACAGCTTTATTTTGGTGGTATTTGATCGCCTCTATGTTTTTTATATTTAAAGTAACTGCCAATAACCGGAAATTGTCAGAGGAGGGATCAGCACTGATCATCAGGGTACTGATGACCAGTGCCCAGCAGTGCCACCCACCAGTGCCCATCAGTGCTGCACACAAGTTCCCATCAGTGCCACCCACCTGTACGCATCAGTGCTACCCACCTGTGCCCATCAGTGCCTAGTAGTGCCACCCATCTGTGCCCATCAGTGCCTAGTAGTGCCACCCACCTGTGCCCATCAGTGCTTAGCAGTGCCACCCATCAGTTCTGCCCAGCAGTGCCACCCATCTGTGCCCAGCAGTTGTGCTAGTCAGTGCCCAGCAGTGCCACCTATCAGTGCCCATCAGTGCTGCCTATCCGTGCCACCTCATCAGTGCTGCTTATCAGTGCCCATCAGTGCTGCCTATCACTGCAGCCTCATCAACGCACATCAGTGAAGGAGAAAAATTACCTGTTTGCAAAATTTTATAATAGAAACAAAGAAAAACTTTTTTTTTTCCAAATTGTTTGCTCTTTTTGTTTATAGCACAAAAAAGAAAACACCCTGCGGTGAGTAAATATCACCAAAAGAAAGATCTATTTGTTTGAAAAAATGATAAATATGTCATATGGGTACAGTGTTGCATGACCGCGCAATTGTCATTCAAATGCAACAGCAGAAAATTGGCCTGGGCACGAAGGGGGTATAAGTGCCCGGTAGGCAAGTGGTTAACCACAGGCCTCACTTGGCTCGGCCGTCATCCAGAGAATGCTTTCCATTTTCCACATTGAATGCAAAGAATTGGATGAAGTGGAGACATCCGCACCCCTCCTCTCTTTTGGGGTGATTCAGCGCAGCAATGCCAACATTTTCCCTGAACACCTCTGTTTTAATACAATATGAACATGAAAAATTATGCCAGGAAGCAAATCCAATCTTTATTAGGAGCGAAAGTTTATTCTACATGAAAATAAATAAAAAATGCAAGTTAAATGTAAGCAATCCCAGATCGTTTTCTTCTTCTTTTATATAGTAAAAAAATACAGTTTTGATTAAATATCACCAAAAGAAAGCTGTCTCAAGAAAAAGTATATAACGTGTCTGGGTACAGTGTTGAGTCATTGTCATTGTCAGTCAAACTATCACAGCACTGAAATCTGAAGAGAGGCCTGGAAAGGAACAGGATGGAACATGCTGGTACTGAAGTAATTAACAGGGCTGTAGTTAGTCTTGGAGTTGCCATTGAAATAAACAAACAAATGTACAAAGCAGCTGCAATAATACTCTGTGGACCCAATTATTGGAACAATTTATTATGTATTATGAAGTATGTGCAGTGATATTTATGAAGGTACATCTGTAGTCACCCAGTGCAGAGGTTACCCTCACTGATTATTTACTTTGGAACTTACAGCATGGCTCTGCCAGTTATGTGCCTGTACATTGCATCAATGTAACCTTGAACCTAAAAAACAAAACAAAACTGTTACTATGTATGAGGACCCGTGCAAAGCCCATGTGCTGGATATCCAGGCCTGCTATTTTTCTATAGATGAGGTCTGTTGTAAATTGTGGTGCAGAGTCATTTGAGTTTATCTTTAATGATTAAAAAGTGATACTAAAAGGATAAAACAAAAATAAAAAATAAAAATAAGGTACGTTGTACCTGCTCTGTGCAGCATTGAAGCTTCCAATATGGAATAAAAATATATTTGAAATATATTTAAAAAATATTCTTCCCAGATATATTGCCATATATTTGAAATACTACAATTTTGGCCATATTCAATATATTTCAAAATATATTTCAATAAATATATATATATATATATATATATATATATATATATATATATATATATACATACACACACACACACATATATACATATACACTGCATGTATAATCAAACTCATCCATCTATCCATCCATGTCTTTCAAAATGATTTCTCTGCATAGCAAAGCATGAAAACACCCCCTAGCATTTCTGGCAGTGGCCATCTTGAGTAAGGTCAGATAATTCATGTAGCATTTATTTCTTCGAATCCATCTAACCTTAGCTCAGGCATTGACTGAGCTGAGAACCCTTCCTCCCCTCCTGAAAACTCCTGGGATGTATGACATCATCTGCCTAGGCCTGGAAACTAGGAAGTAGCTGAAGAAATGTAGAAAAAAAGTTTAAAACAAGTAAATATACTATACTTTCCTTTTTTAGTTATTAGCAGGGATTCCCATGACCTGAAAGTTATTTCAATTGTTCCATCATGTTAAAAAAGGTTGAAAAATACTGATATACACTAAGTAATCTGAAAGGTGACAGAGGGACAAAGGATGGCAGCCAAAATGTATAAGTACTTTGAAAAGAATGCCACTTTGCAAGTTTGCTGGGATTATGAAATTGTAAAGTACCTTAGTCTTAAGAAGCTGGCCTCCTTAATATATAACTTCACCCATGACTGCCAGTTGTGTTAGCTGGTGAAATCACAATTCATTTCAGTGTTTCATAAGGACAGGTAATAAAGCACAAACTAAAACAGGGAAAAATATCACAAATTAAATCAAAATACTGCAAAAATATATCACTAGTGTAAAGATCGAGAAAAGGCAAAGAGCATTGGTGAGAGATAAAAGTTCAATACAGGTACAAGGGTTGGCCAGGTAAGGTAAACAATGATGTTGCCTGTCCCCAGCCACATTACTATGCTACCACAAACTGCTGCAGCCCTTTCTGTATTTCATGTGATAGAGGTGTGCAAATATGAAGAACATGGGAACAAACAGTTCCTTTTGCCAGGCACTTCAGGTTGAAAAGTTCCTTTGTGTGACAACAAGGACTTCTGATTGCTGGAAATGCCTTTAAGAAAATCCTGCTTACTCACATCCTTGACAAATTATAATTTTTAATGTCCTTTTGATAATCAAGGTTGACAAGTAAAGGGGTGTAACCTTTATGAAAAGGTTTCACACTTATTAGTCGCATGATGGGATGATGTATACCAGTTAGAACATGTTGAAACAATTTGGAAACCTAAATTATTCAAATCTGTGTTTGTGCACATACATAATAAATAAAACACACCGTTCAGATCTGATAATTTGGGCTGGGCATAGATTAAACTTTTTTTTTAATTCAGCTAATAGATTCCCTTATCCACACAATTGAGATAGATGGAGGAATTTTCCATATTGTTCCATTGTATTCTAACAGCAGGGACCACCTTTCTGTTAGAAAACACTGATCAGCGGCTGCAGCCACTGATTGAGAATGTAAGAAAACTTTTGTCAGTCAATAGAAGTCGCCATAGATGGATCAAAATTCAGCCAACCCCTGCTGAATCAGCCAAATTTCAATCCATCTTTGACCAGATTTAATGGTATAGTAAGCTAAAAAAAAAAATTAACCCTGCATGGCCAAGCCATAATGTGCTAGTATGCATTGCATACTAGCACATTATGAAGGACTTACCTTAAAACGAAGCCCTCCAGCAGTACACTGTGACCACTGCAGAGGATTCTATCTTCACCCGGTCTCCCTTCCAGGTTCGTGGACTGCGGCCACATGATTGGCTGAGCTGCAATGACGTCACTCCCTTGCATTCGCAGAGGAATTTTGGCCGCAACACACAGCTCTGAAGGAACGGCACGGGTATGCCTTTCCTTAAGAGCGCATGCGCCAGTAATGTCACTGGCTGCTTGCTAGAATATCTCCTAAACGGTGCACGTTTAAGAGATATTAATTTTACCTAAAGGTAAGATTTATCATAAGCTTACCTGTAGGTAATAATAAACAATGAGTTTACTACCACTTTAAAGTATAAAAAGATAAATCTTTTTTGTTAGGAAAAATTGGAGAGGTATTCAAACACCCATCAAGTTTATATTGCTGTCTGTGCCCCTGTCAGGGAGGTTCATCCTCTCATGTGTCTTGGGGACCATTGTTACAGAGAGTAAGAATGAACGATAATCCCAAATTTTAGGTTGCCACCAGAACAGCCACAAAGGAGAAATCTTTCAGTAGAGACACTAGTTTTGATGGCAACTTTCTAAGGGGATTTTCCACACTTTGGAGAGATTTTCCTGCTCTGGTTATGGGAAAATAACTAAAGAAAACAATATAATAAATTAGGGGTGCACCGATACCAGTATCGGTGCCAATACTAAGCATTAGCACGAGTACTCATAAAAATGCTCCGATACGTGACACCCATACAAAATTAATGGGCTTAAATCGCACTGCAAAGAATCACATGTGATTTGAACAGGAATGTGGTGAAATTCCTGTCTGAATCACATGTGGTTTCTCCCACTGCTCCTGTGTGAACCCAGGCTAGTCATAGTGTCTTCACCCTGGGTTCACACCGGGGCAGTGCAGGAGAAATGCGTTTGCGATACACATGTTGCATATTGCCACGCATGCCCCACCCTCACCTAACAGCCGCTGCCCTTCCCTCCTCCTACCACTTCCCCCACAGCCATTTCCTCCTGTACCTCTACCCCCCTCCCTCCTAGATTGTAAGCTCGAAAGAGTAGGGCCTCTTACCCCTTGTGTGCTGTTTGATGTTACTGTACTGTTTCATGTATTGTCCCCCCCTATTGTACAGCGCTGAGCAAACCCTTTGGCGCTATATAAACTCGATAAATAAATAAATAAATAATAATATTTCCAGCACTAGACTTCCTCCATAAACCTCAGCTGTTGACCTATAGAGGGATTTTAAAGCATCGTCTGTACCCGGGGGGTGGGAATTTTTTTAAAAACTACTTGTCCAAGGGACTAACTTGGGGTCCCAATCTACTTGTTTCTCATGACAATCTTCTTGTCCTGATAAAAAAAAAAGATAATTCTAAACAAGCCATATTTAACCACTTGTCCTCTAGAGGATTTACCCCCTTCCTGACCAGGTCATTTTTTGCGATATGGCACTGCGCAACTCTAACTGTCAATTGCACGGTCATGCAATGCTATACATAAATGAAATTTTGTCCTTTTTTTCCCCACAAATAGAGATTTATTTTGGTGATAGTTGATCACCTGTGCGTTTTTTTTTTTTTTTGCGCTATTAACAAAAAAAGACCGACAATTTTGAAAAATATATATATATTTTTGACTTTTTGCTATAAGACATATCCAATTAAAAAATTTAAAACATCAAATTTCTTCACAGGTCTTTGCTAAAACAAATTCCCAAATCAATGTAAATTAAATTGGGTTATGTGAAAGTTATAGCATCTACAAATGGCAACGTATATACTGGATTTTTTGTTTTATACTGGTAATGATGACGATCAGCGACTTGTTGCGGGACTGTGAGAGGCATTCTGACACTGGGGGGAACTGACTAACTGCCATTGACATCTCAATGACACTAATACAGTGATCAGTGCTAATAAAAAGCTCTGACACTGTACTAATGGCACTGGGCAGGAAGGGGTTAACATCTGGCCTGAAAATTACACAAAACCCCCAAAACATATATTTTCTGAAAGCGGACACCCTAGAGAATAAAATATTGGTAGTTCCAATTTTTTTTATGTCACATGATATTACCACAAAAGTCTAGGAAACGCAAGATTTCAGTTAAAAACACTGAATTTAATATTAGTGCACAAAAAGGCAATAAATTACCCATTTTTGGTAGAATATAAAAAATGTGTCGAGTAAATAGATGCCCAACATGGCAAACCTTAAATTTGAGTGCACTTGAGCAATAGGGAGAAACGTTAATACCCTATATTTTTTTATAGGTGACACTTTTAAAGCCCCTTATAGGTCATCAGTTTAGTGTTACGGAGGAGGTTTAGTGCTAGAATTATTGCTCTTATTTTGGCATGCGCAGCAATATGTAACATGTGTATCACATGACGTTTTCATGCGTAGGCACCTGACATGTGCGTTTACGTTCGTATGTGTGTATATGTTGGGTGCCTCAAAACTTTTGGGGAGGAGGGGGTTATGTGCTTGGGTGTAACTTAAATTTTTTTACAATGAAAAAAAAAAAATTTTTTACCTAACTTTTTTTCCCCCCATCACATAGGGGACAAAAGTGATGTGTCCTATAGACACAAAGAGCTGGCACAGGAGCGAGCATGCATGATTGCCCCCAGAGCGAGCAGCTTGCTTGGGGGCACTCAGCAAAGGGGGGGCCATAAGCACTGGCAGGAGACCATAGAGGAGGATGGGAGTTGCTCTGTGAAAACCATTGAACAGAGCGGGTAAATATAATGTGTTTATTATTTTAAAGAAAACCACTTTGATATGTTCACAAAAAATGAAAAGGTGAACTAATCACTCATGGAGGTAAGTGTGTCTAGGGTATTAGTTCACGTTTTCTTTTTTGTGAAAATGGGAACATAAACTTTACGCTGACCATGCACGCAGGCTGAACGTGAGAACTCACTAAAGAGCGTGAATGGAGAATCTCCCTTGCCAGCTATTGTATTCTAACAGTCAACTCCCTCTGCTGTCAGGGAACCCCAACAGCAACTACTGATGATCGTTTCCTTTGCCAGAATTGAATTTAATTTGATACCTTTTTATATTTGCAGATTTCTTTCTACAAATCATTGAATACACCGAATCACTCCGAGATCTACCATTTTTTAAATTGTGGATTGGTCCTATGCCTTTTTTTAATAGTATATCATGCAGAAACTGTAGAGGTAGGTAGTAAAATCCTTGTGTACACATTTTTTATTTCTGCTTTGTATATTTGAGGAGTGGGGGAAGGGTGAAACTAGGGAGGTCTAGGATCTGGTTAGGTAGCTATAAACACGTTTCCGTTTGCATAGTTAATAGGAAGCAACTGATAGAATTAATGAACTATTTGTATTCTATTGAAGGGTCAAAATAGTTGATTCTACAGTATTCATAACTTTACCTTCTGTGGCTCACTGGCCTGGTGCTGACTGCATTCCCCCACCCCATTTTTTGTATGGGCATCACAGGGACAGAAAGTAAAGAAATCTCAGTGGAAGAAAAACAGTGGAGCTAGTGACAAAAATAGTAAAACCTAACTGCAGTCCAATACATCCAGCACTAGACCCTTCTCTGCCCTCAAAGGGGTGCACAACCAAAGATGATACTGTATTATAGCACATTCAAGAAATGGCCAGTACACCATAAATTAACCTTTTCATATTATTTGAGTTTATTTATGGTGTATTGGCCATTTCTTAAATGATAAATAAAAAACATTTTAAAAACAGATAAAGGCCCTGTGTATGGCAATATTAAAGCTGTTAAAGGGAAATAGATTTCCAGCACACCGATAAAATACTAATTTATTTGTAATAAAAGCTGTGGTTTCACTTTAACACTGCAATGAAGTGCATCCTTTTATGGCTGTAAATAATAATAATAATAATAATAAAAACATTTATTTTATATAGTGCCTTTAACCACTTGACCTCCGGAAGATTTACCCCTCTTCATTACCAGGCCGTTGTTTGCTATATGGCACTGTGTTACTTTAACTGACAGTTGCGTGGTCGTGCAATGCTGCACATAAATAAAATTTGTCCCTTTTTTTTCACACAAATAAAGCTCTTTTTTAGTGGTATTTGATCACCTCTGTGGTTTTTATATTTTGTGCAATAAATGAAAAAACAACAACATTAAGAAAAAAATTTTTTGTTACTTTCTGTTATAAAACATATCCAATAAAAAATTTTAAAAATCACATTTCTTCATAAATTGAGGCCAAAATGTATTCTGCTAATACAATGCCAATATGCTTAGATTGATTTGTGCAAAAGTTATAGCGTCCACGAATTGTAGTATATATACTGGATTTTTTTTTTATAATAGTAATGGAGGTGATCAGCGACTTATAGCAGACTGGCACTAACTGACACTTTGTGGGAACCAGTGACACTAATACAGTGATCAGTGCTAAAAATATACACTGTCACTATATTAATGAGAATGGCTGGGAAGGGGTTAAACATCTGGGGCGATCAAAGGGTTAATTGTGTGCCTAACCAGTGTTTTTCTGTGTACAGCGTGCTGTTTTTACTAGGCAATCTGCTAGATTTTATTCCATGAATAAAATCTAGCAGATCACCATTGACATAACACAGCTCTGCCTTGTTTACATAAGCAGAGCTGTGTTCTGTCAGTCTCCTGGACTTTCTTTGGTGATCAACAGGTGCTGGTGCTCATCCATTGGCCTTCACTTGTTGATTGGCTTCTGCTGTGTCCAAGCACAGCAGAAGCGATGCTCTGGTGGCAGGCGTGCGCCCCCCAGTGGATAAAGTGCAAAATCATGTTTATATACGTGGTTTTTCACAGAACATCTGCCCTGTAGCAGTGAATCTGCTTTAGGGCAGATGGCAAGTGATTAAAGATAGTTTCTCAAAGTTCTTTACAGAAAAAACACAAGAACTACACAGGATAAAACAAAGGAAAAAATTAGACATGAAAGCTTGTCTAAAGAAAAAAGTTTTAGATTTAATTTGAATGAGTTTAGAGAAGATGACTCTCTGATGTTCTTTGAAAGCAGGAGAAGGCTCTGTCTACCAGCAAGTTGTATGTGAGTAGGGGACACACAGAAAAGACCAGAATCTGAGGAGAAAAGGTTACAAGGGTGGGAGTAAGTTGATAAAAGTTCAGACAGATAATGGGGTGCTAAGCCGTGAAGAGCCTTATTGGTGAGCAAGAGGATCTTAACCACCTCCTGCCCGCCATATAGTCCAATGATGGGCGCAAGGTGGTTCTCTTGTTCTGGGAGGGCGTCATATGACGTCCTCCCATTCTCACCACGCATACATGACTCAGTGAACGTGCAGCGCGGGAATTGGTGGTGCTCTGTGTCCCTCGGACACAGCGAATCACCGATCTATGGAAAGAGCTGAAGATGTCTGCTCGGTCATGTGATCAGCTGTGTCCAATCACAGCTGATCACATGTAAATAGGGAAATGCTGGTTATCGGCATTTCTTTCCTCTCAAGCTGTCACACTGACAGCTTGAGAGAAGAGGTGAGCCGGAAATCGGCATTCCGTGGAGGGGACATGTACACTGATCATCTGCCCTGATGATCAGTGTGCCCTGATGATCAGTGTGGCCCCAGAAGTGCCACCTGTCAGTGTCCATCAGTGCCAGCTGTCAGTGCTGAACAGTGCCACGTGCCAGTGCCCATCAGTGCCACATCAATGCCACATATCAGTGCCTACCAGTGCCCATCAGTGCCACATATCAGTGCCTACCAGTGCACATCAATGCCACATATCAGTGCCCATCTGAGCTGCCTTTCAGTGTCACCCATCAGTGCTAGTCAGTGCCACCTATCAATGCCAATCAGTGCCACCTATCAGTGCTGCCAATCAGTGCTGTCTATCAGTGCCAGTCAGTGCTGCCTATCAGTGCCAGTCAGTGCCACCTATCAGTGTGCATCAGTGCCGCCTATCAGTGCCCTTCAGTGCCGCCTATCAGTGCTAGTCAGTACCGCCTAACAGTGCCAGTCAGTGCCCTGTCAATGCTGCCTATCAATGCCGCCTATCAGTGCTGCCTTTCAGTGCCCATCAGTGATGCCTGTCAATGCCCATCAGTGCCACCTACCATTGCCTCCTCATCAGTGCCCATCAGTGCCACCTATCAGTGTCCATCAGTGCAGCCTATCAGTGTCCATCAGTGCAGCCTCATTAGTGCACATCAGTGAAGGAGAAAAATCACTTATTTACAAAATTTTATAACAAAAACTAAGAAAAAACTTTTTTTTTTCAAAATTTTCAGCAGTTTTTGGTTTGTTTAAGGAAAAAAAAAAAACCCCCAGAGGTGATTAAATACCACCAAAATAAAGCTCTATCTGTCACAAAAAAAATGCTAAAAATATTATATGGGTACAGTGTTGCATGACCGCACAATTGTCATTCATAGTGTGACAGCGCTGAGAGCTGGAAATTGGCCTGGTCAGGAAGGGGGTATAAGTGCCCAGTAGGCAAGCGGTTAACCCTTTGAGGACTGTAAGATTTTGGAACGCCAAAAGAATCAATTTTTTGTTTTTAAAGTTCGTACACTTCAGTTGCTGTAACTAAGCCATTTCATGAAATAATTGGCAAAAAGATAGATCCATTTGTTGATAAGAACTAATATTTTGACTCAAACCAAAAAAAAAAGAAGTATTTTAAGTTCTTAATCAGATGATACAGGCAATTAAAAACATGGGACAATACGTCCCTTGGTCCTCAAAGGGTAAAAGTCTATGAAACCTGACAGGTAGCCAGTGTAGGGATGTCAGAATAGGGGTAAACATGGCCATGTGTACCAGACCTAGTGAGGATTCTGGCTGCAGGTTTTGTACATGTTGAAGTTAATGAATTATGGATTTAGGTACAACAGCAAGTAGAGCATTGCAGCAGTCAAGTCAGAACACCACAAATGCATGGATTAGCTTTTCATCTACAGTTTATAATGGCATAGGATACAGCCAGGCAATGTTTCTCAAGTGGAAAAAAGATGTTCAGACAACATTTTGTACACGTGGATCAAAAGGTTAAACTTGCATCAAATATCACCCCTGGATTTTCGATTTAGAGCTCAAATGTAGCCAATGGCTCCTGCTGCTGCCTCAATGGCCAGTGAGGAGAGAGAGAGACATTGCTCTTGGGCACAGCACCAGATTGTGATCGGGCTCAGATAGTATTTGTGGGGGCTGAGGTGGAGGAGCAGAACAGAGAAGGTTTTAAACCTTAAGTTCCCAGTCACACTGGATGTGAATTGGTATGCGATTTGCATGCCATGCGACTTGCAAGCCGCACCCTATTGTCCACAGTTACAGATTCATATCGGTGCGGTTCTGACTTGGTCGGAGTCGAACCGATTTCTAAAGTAGTACATGTACTACTTTTGGTGCGATTTGCATAGATATCTGTGTCAGATGTCTTGCAAATCGCATCTGAAATCGGTATGCCATCCAACGATTTCAAAGTCAGGTTTGGTGTGACCAGGGTGTTATGCAGAGAATCAGTTAAAGTGGACTGCATCTAAGCACCACAATCCAAAATTTAATTAATAATTATTTAATTATTTTTTAATATCCAAAGCTAACTCATCCATCCATGTCTCCATGCTTTATTTTGCTGATAAATAATTTTGGAAACCACACTCTTGTATTTCTGGCAGTGGCCATCTTGAGTAAGGGCAAATGACTCGTGTATCATTTACTTCCTGGAATCCATCTGCCCTTAGCTCAGGCATTGGCTGAGCTGAGAACCCTCCCTCTCATCCTGAAGACTCCTGTAATGTATGACATAATTTTCCTAGGTATGGAAACCAGGACATAAATGAAGAAATGTAAAAAAAAAAGTTTAAAACAGGAAAGTAGCATATTTACTTATCTATTTACTAATGATAGCAGCATAAGGATTAAAAATAGTCCATGATGATTGAAAGAGTGAAGTTCCACTTCAAGGTATAAACCTTCTACCTTTACAACTACTTTAAGACTCTTTGTCCACGGTTGCATATTATTGTACTGTGGCAAGTAACATGAGTTGTCTTTTTTGTGTTTATATTTTTTAGAAAGCTCAAAGACTAATTAGATCTCTGAAGTGAAAAATTGTGCTTACATACATGTTTATCTTTGATTCTTTGATTTAGATGCATTATAATTGCACTTCAGATGCAATCTTGACAGCGAGTATTCAGTTGTACTTTTTTGTTTAAGTCCAGCCAAAACTGTTTTTTTTTTTTTTTTTTAAATTTGGATAAAGTTGGGAAGGATCAGAACCCCTGTTAAGATTTTATTTTATCTGGGACTTGGTATAGAGAGATTTCCCCTCTTACTATCACAGTGACGGTTTCACTCAGGAAGCAGGGGAAATTCTGTACCAAACTGTACAAATCTCCTGAGACTAGCAGTCAGTGGCAGCAGTGCCTTTGATATAACACTGCAGATATTCACCTATGAGCCTTTAGACACAGGAGTGCCTAGGCAACCTCATATACCAGGTAGTGCCCTTCTGTTTTCCAGCAAAAATACAAGATACATTTTAAGTGTACTGCTTAGGCACAAATATAGTGGATGTTAACCTACAAATAAAAATATAACTTTACAGTTTATGAATTATTAGATGCGGTGACTGCATTTTTTTCATTTTTTAATTATATTTTATTGTCACCAGATAATCCAGTTTGTAAACTTTTTACTTTTTTTACTTCCTTTAACAGACCAGGTTGTCATGCAAAGAGTGGCAGTTGGAGGATTGTAACAAACCATTTAAAGTGTTACTAAACCCACAAGAGTAAACTCGGTCTGTAAATGCAGTAAAGTGTGCTTGTTATACTCACTGTGGAACCTAAGGGGTTTAATCCTCCACATTGTGTAAAAAGGCTGTTTTTATCCGTTTTTTCTCTGATCCTCCCATTCTTCTACTGCCCCCAGTCCATCTGCTGATGGTACAGAGCTCTAGGAGTCACTCTGCACATACTCAGATTAGTGTGTATTGCTAGAGAGTTTGTTTCTTTTGGAGGGTGCATGTGATCAGCACAGAGCCAATCAGCACTGTCCAGGCAGAGGGTCAGGAGTTATGCAGTCTCACAGAACAGTCAGAGAATGAGAACGCCTCCTACAAGGTTTAATCATTGCTTAGCTGGACACTGATAGAAGTCACAAGACTGATATATACTGCTGATGAGAAAAGGTATTTAGCAGTTTATATTTACTAAAATAATTGAATTTTATGTTCTGTGTACTGTGGGAGACCAGATATAGTAAATGCAGGATCCTGAGTTTAGTAACACTTTAACACTAACAGGGGTGCTTACAATGTTCTACTTTTATTCATTTATGTATTCATTTATGTAAAACCTTTATCCCAAAAAGAAAAAAAAAACTCTAACTACTTAAAAAGTGTTATCTGCTAGTGTATCTAACACTACTACCTAATTAACAATGCTGATGTCCAAAGGTGGATCCATTGCTCCACCATGCAGAATAGCAACACCCTAAGGTGGGAAGTGTGTAACTGGCTGGATTACTAGGTAAAAATAAATGAAAAATATCCTAATAAAGGAAAACAAATGGAGTCACCACACTAAGGTTAATACTTCTTTAACATTTCTAGATGTGACCTAAAGCAAATCTTCTCCACTTTGAGACTCAGGTAAACTGTATGAAGTGTTCCAGGTGGCATGTAGCAGCTTGGAGGTGGGGGGGGGACTTGAATTAGGCTGACATTATTTAGTGGAGATACTTCTCATTTTGTACAACACTATAAAAATTATTGAAATATTAGTATTGAGTTTCCAATAGAAATAGTGGTGATGAAGCATTCTGTTGCTAAACTGTGTTTTTCTATTTTACAGCCTATACTTAGCACATCAAAACACATGGACAAGTCCTTTGCATATAAATTTCTTCATCCTTGGCTTGGATTGGGACTATTAACAAGGTATATATAGGGGACTATTTAACAAGTATACATTTTACCTTTATTTGAACGCCGATGGCATTTTAGCACAGAATGATGTGTTTTTTCTAAATTACAGTTAAGCTCCTTTTCACACAATCGTTCCGATCAGGTCCACCTGTCAGTTTCAGGACAGTTCATTCATCTGTATGGACCGGAGGCCGTAAATGGACTTATGTCAGTTTACATCCACCTATCTCTGATCCGGTACACTAAAATACAAACAGAATAGGATCTGTCCTCTCCTGTGTAGGCGGATTGGAGATAGTCTGGTGTAAATGGATAACAGAGCCTGTTTAAACCTGACTGCTCATAGAGCAGCGTGGGTTCTGACCTTGTCCACTCTGCATAAACTGAGCAGACACAGACCTGTCATCTGCCTGCTTTGCTCTGCTCAGCAGGGGATCAGTGGGCGGATCCCCTGCTGATCAAAGCGGATCCACCCTGTGTGAAGGGGTCTTTCACACTAGTACGATTTCAGATGCTACTGGAGATGGAAATCACATCAATTGTACCCGTTCATGTCAATGCAACTTTGGTGCGATTCCAGTGTGCGATTTTGGTCCCATAGAATATACAGACCTTATCCAAGTTGCATTACATAATCGCATTGAAAGTCAGATCAAAATATGATCCCAGCAGTGTGAATCTAACCTAAGTATAATATAAAAAGTAAATATTTTTAATAGACTCTGAGGGCTTCTCTTGCAAATATATTGATTATTGGTCCCGCTATGCTTTAGCTTTATTTTCCATTCTTTAGTGTCTGCATAACTTATTCCCATGGACCCTTAAAAACATAGCTATTCTTTATTTGCTTAAACGAGGTGACGTTCCATCACTGCAGTGCCAAGAAACCCCTGTTGTAATGTACCCACTATAGCCCTAGCATAGGGGAAACAGAAAAGCAAAGTACTTTACTGATTTTACTGAACACACTGAACTATCCACAGTATTATTTTATTGAACAAATGTATAGCTAAATCCTGTCTGCAGCTCAGACTTTGCTTTTGCATTCCCAAGAAACAATGCAAGTGCAAACAATATCAGGTTCCTTTTCAATTCCTTTGGGTGACGTTTTTCTCACAGAAAGAAAGGGAATATCTAAAATTTAGGAAATTTCCTAATGGGGACAACTAACCAAACAACTTGGGATTTCGATTCACTTTGGATACATTTCTTTTTTTTTGCTGCTAATGCAATAGAAATAAAAGTAGGAAAGAAGGAAAGTATTATTCGGTATAAGATTTCCTCATTAAGCAATCAGGTTCATACCAACTGGAGAGATCCACTTTAAGGCCTGGTTCACACTAGTGCAACTTCTGATGCGATTCTGTGCGACTCAAATTGCATGACGAGGGAAATCACATTATTTTTAATGGTTCCCATTCTAATCAATGTGACTCAGAATGGGGAGATTTTGGAAAAGGTTCCTGTACTACTTTAGTGCAATTTACAATGAGACTTGGCCTCATAGAATATGCAAAACCGCATGAAAGTCACACATAATCTCACTGTAAATTGCATCAAAGTCGCAGTAGTGTAAACCAAGCCTAAATTATAAGCTATGTCTATTTACACTAGTATTTACACTGCATATTGGTGTGTTGAAGATGCTGATATCATTGGTGCAGCTTCCAACAAAGATGATTATCTGTGAAAAATACTTTCAGAACTTTTTTTGTTTGTGTTTATTCTCTAGTGGAGTCATGCAGGTCATACCTGTTTTCTGACAGGAAGTAGGATAGCTCCTATTATTAATTCCGCCTTTAAAGTTGATCCAGGGAATATCCGATTGCCTCTTGGGGGAACAGGAATGAATGAATTCCCCTGCAGGAGCAAATTGGATCCTACTTTTCTGGGGTTTTTTGCCTTCCTCTGGATCAACTGTGGATGTAGGATTATAACAATTTTTTTTTTTTATACTTGAACTGGATGTACTTTTGTCTTTTTTCAGCCAGACTATGTAACCTTTTGCTGTTTCCTACATATACATACTGAATAATTCAAGTGAAATCCTATGCCACCCAGTCTAATGAAGAGGTTAGTTTGAATAAAGTAAACAAAAACATGAATCACCAGGGGGTAAAGCCCCCCATCCCAGCACAAATGCACTTCAGAAAATACAGTATTTGGATACACAATAAATGTCATCTTAATTTTTGCTTTCTAAACCAGCATCATCATTCATAATTTGTGCACAAGGAACATCTCTGTAATGTAGATATTTCCTGGATTCTTGTAGAACTCAGAAATAAAATGCAAATTGTATGGAAGACCAGTTTATATGTGACTTACATAAATTCTCCTCTAGTCACATTATTCTGAAATGTCTTTCCACTTTAATTGTGCAGGAGGTAACCACACAAAATAAATAAATTGATTTCCATCTTTACAGTAGTGGATTTTCAGATCTGAAAAAGCAAATATCACAGACAGTTCAATCCTTCATATTTTTCTTAAAATGAAAACAGTTTGTATATTATTACCTTGGACAGAGGGGTGGCGGTGGATGTGGTATACTTGGATTTTGCAAAAGCGTTTGACACAGTTCCCCACACATGGCTAATGTGTAAGGTAAAGTCTACGGACTTGGAAAAATCTGTATGTAAATGGATGGAAAACTGGCTAAAAGATCGTATTCAAAGAGTAGTGGTTAATGATTCATATTCTGAATGGTCTGGGGTCATCAGTGGTGTACCCCAAGGTTCAGTGTTGGGACCCTTACTTTTTAATATATTTATAAACTAAATAGGGTCTGGGATTAATAATCCAATTTCAGTCTTTGCAGATGACACCAAGCTGTGCAGTGAAATAACGTCCTTACAGGATGTCTTCAACTTACAAGCCGACCTCAATGCACTGTTTAATTGGGCAACTATGTGGCAAATGAGGTGTAACGTTGATAAATGTAAGGTTATGCACTTGGGGGCTAAGAATATGCATGCATCATACATACTAAGGGGAGTACAACTGGGGGAATCAATGGTGGCGAAGGATCTGGGAGTTCTGGTAGATCACAAGCTTAATAATGGCATGCAATGCCAAGCTGTGGTTTCTAAAGCGAGCAAAATCCTCTCTTGTATTAAAAGAGGTATAGACTCCAGAGAGAGAGAGATCATTTTACCGCTGTACAAATCATTAGTAAGACCTCATCTTTAAAATGCAGTTCAGTTTTGGGCACCAATTCACAAAAAGAACATTGGGGAACTTGAGAAAGTACAGAGAAGGGCAACTAAACTGATACGAGGCATGGAGGAGATCAGCTATGAGGAAAGATTAGAGGAACTGAATTTATTCTCTCTTGAGAAGAGGAGAGTAAGTGGGGATATGATCAACATGTATAAATACATCAGTGGTTCATATAGTGAACTCGGTGTAGAGTTATTCACCCTGAGGTCATCACAGAGGACAAGTGGCACTCTTTACGTCTGGAGGAAAATAAATGTATTCTCCAAACACAGAAAAGTTTCTTCACAGTGAGAGCTGTGAAAATGTGGAATAGTCTCCCTCAAGAGTTGGTTCTGGCCAGCTCAGTGGATTGCTTCAAAAAAAGCCTGGATTCTTTCTTAGATACACATAATATAACTGGATATAACATTTATAGGTACAGTTGATCCAGGGAATATCCGATTGCCTCTCAGGGAATCAGGAAGGAATTTTTTTTCCCAGCAGGAGCAAATTGGATCATGCTTTGCTGTTTTTTTTATTGCCTTCCTCTGGATCAACTGTGGGTATAGGATTATAACTTTTTTTTTTTGTATGGTTGAACTGGATGGACTTTTGTCTTTTTCAGCTATACTAGCTATGTACAGTGAGGAACAGAAGTATTTGAACACCCTGCGATTTTGCAAGTTCTCCCACTTAGAAATCATGGAGGGGTCTGAAATTCACATTGTAGGTGCATTCCCACTCTGAGAGACAGAATTTAAAAAACAAATCAGGAAATCACATTGTATGATTTTTAAAGAATGTATTTGTCTTGCACTGCTCAAAATAAATATTTGAACACCTGAGAAAATCAGTGTTAATATTTGGTACAGAAGCCTTTGTTTGCAATTACAGAGGTCAAACGTTTCCTGTAGTTCTTGACCAGGTTTGCACACACTGCAACAGGGATTTTGGCCCACTCCTCCGCACAGATCTGTCAGGTTTCGGGGCTTTTCGCTGAGCAACACGGAGTTTCAGCTCCCTCCAAACATGTTCTATTGGATTTAGGTCTGGAGACTGGCTAGGCCACTCCAGAACCTTGATATGCTTCTTACGGAGCCACTTCTTGGTTATCCTGGCTGTGTGCTTCGGGTCGTTGTCATGTTGGAAGGCCCAGCCACGACCCATCTTCAATGCTCTGATTGAGGGAAGGAGGTTGTTGCTCAAAATCTCACAATAAATGGCCCCATTCATCCTCTTCTTAATAAAGTGCAGTCGTCCTGTCCCCTTCGCAGGAAAGCACCCCCAAAGCATGATGTTACCACCCCCATGCTTCACAGTAGGGATGGTGTTCTTGGGATGCAACTCATCCTTCTTTTTCCTCCAAACACGACGAGTGAAGTTTAGACCAAAAAGTTCTACTTTGGTCTCATCTGACCACATGACTTTCTCCCATGCCTCCTCTGGATCATCCAGATGGTCATTGGCAAACTTCAGACGGGCCTGGACATGTGATGACTTGAGCAGGGGAACCTTCCGTGCAATGCATGATTTGAAACCATGAAGGCGTAGTGTTCTACCAACAGTGACCTTTGAAACTGTGGTCCCAGCTCTCTTCATGTCATTGACCAGCTCCTTCCTTGTAGTTCTGGGCTGATTCCTCACCTTTCTTATCATCAGTGATACCCCACGAGGTGAGATCTTGCATGGAGCCCCAGTCCGAGGGAGACTGACAGTCGTCTTTAGCCTCTTCCATTTTCTAACAATTGCTCCAACAGTTGATCTATTTTCACCAAGCTGCTTGGCAATTGCCCCGTAGCCCTTTCCAGCCT